TTGGCCCTAAGCCTGCTGGGAAATTTGCTACCTGGGTGTGCCCTAGCAGGGACCCCCACCCTATATGCATTTGGATCTGGCTTTCACAGACCCTCAACTTAAACACATAGAAAAACAAGATGAAAACGTAGAAAACCCCCAAATTCCCGATGGGACGATGGCGTGAGGAGACACTCTGCAAGGATGGGGCCTCAGTAGCCCGCCTCCTCTTGGTAGTACGGAGGGTACTCCGGGGCCTTCCCTGGGCTTGGGCAGTCGCCAACTGACCCTGGAGCCCCGTCAGCCATTTGGCCTTGTGGGCAGTACTTGGGGTCGTATATCTGCCGGCCCAGGCCAAAGACCTGGCCGCTCTGGTTGGCACCCTGTGTGTAGCCCATCTGCAGAGACATGGAGGAATTGTCACACTTGTCGGTCCCCAGCTTGGTGTCATAGATGTGCCGCCGGGTCCCAGGAGCCGTCATGCCCACCTGGAGAGGGAAGAGAGAGCATCAGGACGGGAGGGACGAGGTTTCCAAAATTTCCACCCCATCTCCCATCTCCCTTTACAGTCACAGGACGCACTCCTCTGCGCCCTTCCAAGCCCTGCTCAGACACCCTCCGTTCTGACCCTGCTGAGATGATTCATTACCAGTGACCCCCCACTTTGGAACCAGGGGTGTTTGGGTCCAGCTCTCCCTGCCAGTCAGGAAGCTTCTAGTCTGGAGCCAAGGCCTCCTGAAAACCTGACGGCTCTAAAACCCCCATCACATGTGACACAGCAGGAAAAGCGAGAACCACAGGGTCTAAACATTTCAGAGTTGAATGGGCCTCAGGTCAATCCCTTGAGGGAAACTGAGGCACAGGGCTAGGTAGAAACTTCCTTGGGGACACATAGTAAGCTGAGGCAGAGACAGAGAAGGCAGGAGGGAAGCCCAGGGTGGGGGTGTCCATGGAGAACAAGGGTTTGGGCCAGGTGGGGGCGTGCCTGAGGGGGACTGGGTGAGGCCCACCTGGCTGGCACACTTGTTGGTGCCCATTTGCAGGCTGATGGTTGAGTGGTCCATGGGTGGCAGGATATGGTTCTTGGGGTCGTACAGATGCCTTCTTGTACCATAGGCCGTCATGCCTGACTGGCTGGCACACTTGTTGGTACCCATCTGCAGGAAGACGGGCAGGAGAGGTCAGGCTGCCCGAGAAACTCCAGAGGCCATTGAGCGGGACAGGGCTTGGGTCACAGCAGAATCTCCCCTACCCCCGATGGGCCCTGGTGCCCACCTGGAGCCCGATGACACACTGGCCCGCCTTCATGGTGGCGTCATCAAAGTTCCGCTCCTGCTTCTCTGAGTACTTGATGCCGATGTCCACGCCACTCTGCAGCCCCTTAGTCTTGGCCTGGAGGGAAGCGGGGCTGGGAGTATCAGGGAGGGGCAGCCTGGACTCCTGAGCCGGTCCCAGAGTGTGTGACCCTGGAGGAGGATTGGGCTGCAACCTGTCCCCTTCGTCTGCTGCCCAATGACTTAGGCGTCAGATTCAGAGGTCCTGTTGGCCCCCAGCCTTCCTGTTGCTCAGGCCAAGCATTCTGGGGGTCTCATCTTTCATCACCTTCTACCCAACTCTCACTTGGACACTTGCCCCTGGCTCCTCCCTGATCTCCCCGTCCCCGGTCCTCCTGGGGCAGCCCTTGAAAACACCACTCAGAACACCATTCCTGACATGAGAGCCTCCGCCCTATTCCTACATCAGGGCCTTGCTATTCCTTCCTCTGGAAACACTGTTCCAACCTACCCTGGTCTTTAAGGGTCACTAGACCCCACACATTGGTCTAATTCTTTCTGGGGGTCTCATCTTTCATCACCTTCTACCCAACTCTCACTTGGACACTTGCCCCTGGCTCCTCCCTGATCTCCCCGTCCCCGGTCCTCCTGGGGCAGCCCTTGAAAACACCACTCAGAACACCATTCCTGACATGAGAGCCTCCTCCCTATTCCTAAGGGTCTTTAAGGGTCACTAGACCCCACACATTGGCCTAATTCTTTTTTTTTTTTAAATATATTTTTATTGATTTCAGAGAAGAAGAGAGAGGGAGAGAGAGAGAAAGAGATAGAAACATCATTGATGAGAGAGAATCATTGATCGGCTGCCTCCTGCATGCCCCCCACTGGGGATTGAACCTGCAACCCGGGCATGTGTCCTTGACTAGAATCGAACCCAGGACCCTTCAGTCCGCAGGCCGACGCTCTATCCACTGAGCCAAACCAGCCAGGGCTGGTCTAATTCTTCTTCCTCCAGGCATGTCTCACAATCTATGACTTACAGCTTATAAGAAAATGACTTGAAGAGGGAACCCTCTTGTAAACTCTAGGCTCTGGGTGCTGAGGAGATGTGCTTGGCCGTTCATCAGTGGTAACAAATGGTTCAAACTCCAGTGAGGATGTGGATGGTGGGGAGGCTGTGTCTGAGCGGGGGTGGGCTGCACCTGGCCAGGGGGCATATGGGAAATCTCTGTAGCTTCCTCTCAATTTTGGTGTGAACCTAAAACTGCTCTAAAACAGAAAGTTTTGCCCTGGCCAGTGTTTCTCAGTGGTTGGGGCATCGCCTGTGCACCAAAGGGCCTTGGGTCCAATTCCCAGTCATGGGTACATACCTGGGTTGCAGGTTCAATCCCTGGCCCCGGTCAACCAATCGATGTGTCTCTCTCACATCAATATTTCTCTTTCTCTCTCTCCCCACCTCCCTCCCTTCCACTCTCTCTAAAAATCAATGAAAAAATATCCTTGTTGATGATTAACAAAAAATACCAAAAAAATTAAAAATTTTAAATATAAAGACTTTTTAAACAAACAAAAAAATTTTTGGTTTATAGTCTGCTTCCTCCATCAGACTGTGAGCCCAAGAAGGGGTAGACTGTGTCTGTCAGCACCTTTAATCTGTACCGTCTGCTGTGTGGCTTTGGGCAAGTTGCCGCCCCTCTCTGGGCCTCACCTTCCCTGCCAGAGCCAGGAGAGACACCTGCACCTGTGTCATGTTTCCACTCTCAAACAGGTCATTGGCCTCGAACAGGTCCACAGGGTTCATGCCGTAGCTGACCATGGCCTTGATGAAGTTGGAGAGGTTTTCTAGCTGGGAGGAGACACAAAAGGGGTTGTGAGAGGACCTCAGACGGCCCACAGGTCAGATGGGGTCTCCCAGCCCCATCCTTACTGTACCCGACAGTCCCTCACCTGGTGCCAGTTTTGCATGGAGCGGTTGATCTTGGGGACTGAGCCCGGCTGCAGCTTATTCATGAGTCTGGGGGGAGGGAAACATGGGTGGGAGGAATCAGGAACCTCCATTAGCATAGGTGAGCCTGAGTCTCACAGCCCCAAGAGGCTAATTCTCCTCTTAGCCACTTTCCTTGTCAACCTCACTGCTTCCTTCTGGGCCTTAGTTTCCCCTCTTGCAATGTCATCTTCACCCACAAAGCAAAGATGCTAAAGAGTGACAATAATGGGTGTTGGGAGTATAATCCAGAAGCCCTGATTTCTGGGAGTGAATCTGAGAATTTCCATTCAAATGTGCAAACCACGGAATGTCTGAACTACAGTCGAGAAGGATGCAGCAGAGAAAGGCCTCCGGAAAATTTCGAGGCTCTCCCATGAAAGGAAGGGCATAAGGCAAGGATGCTTCCTGCTAGAGATCCTCAACAAAGCCATCACACACACACACAAAGAGAAAGACACAGACTCATCGAGGGAAGAGCAAGCAGGCTTCCAACGGCAAGTGGAGCACAACCACATGACAAGCCTGTGCCAACACCCACACTCACGTGCACAGGATAATTCCATCCTTCAGACCCTTCTGGAAGTCGGGGCCAATAGACAGGCCTGTGAGTCCCTCGATCCAGCCGCGGAGCTCCGCCTCCTTCTGAGGGTCATACTTGGACAGAAGCTGCAGGAGCAGAGGGCATAAGATTGGGATGAGGACACACCCAGCAGAAGTTCTCTGAAGCTCCTGATGGGGTGAGGCTGGTGGCTCCATAGGAGGGAGACAGAGGGGTCTGGCTGACCCCGCACTAGGGAGCTGTGTCCCATCAGCAGGGACACTCACAGGCACAGATAAACCACCCTCCACAGACGCGCTCCTCTCTCTCACTGACAAACTTTGGCTCTAATCCACTTCCAATGGTGCCAAACCCTCATCTCCTGCTCTACCTGCACTAGAGACAAACCCTTCTGTTTCCACTTCCTGTCTCTGGACTTGCCTGTTCTGGACATTTCACATAAATGGAATCGCACACTCTGTGGCCTTTTGTGCCTGGCTTCTCTCACCAGTAGCATGTGTCCAAGGTCTATCCATCCATGTTGTAGCGTGTCAGTGCCTCATTCCTTTCCACGGCGGAGTAATATTCCATTGTGTGGATGGACCACATTGTGTGTATCCATTGACCAGTTGATGGGCATTTAGGCCGTTTCCATCTCTTGGCCATTGTGAATCCTGCTGCTGTGAATATCCATGTACAGGTTTTCTGAAACACCTATTTTAATTAGTTTGGGAACATATCTAGGAGTGGAACTGATGGGTCATGTGGTGATTCTGTTTAACTTACTGAGGGACCACCAAACCATTCTCTGTGCCTAGCACTGGCCATACCAGTTACTGGCTCAGGGCCTTTGCATGTGCTGTCACTTTTGACTTAGATGTTTGCATGGCTGGGTCCCTACCTTCCATCTAGTCACAGCTTGAAGGTCACCTCTTTGGAGAGGAGTTCCCTGACCACGCTAGCTATGACGGCCCTCCTCCGGTACCCCTCTCTCCCTGGCCCTGCCTCCTTATTTTCCTTCTTTTTTTAAAAAAAAAATATGTTTTATTGATTTTTTACAGAGAGGAAGGGAGATGGATAGAGAGTTAGAAACATCGATGAGAGAGAAACATCGATCAGCTGCCTCCTGTACATCTTCTACTGGGGATGTGCCCGCAACCAAGATACACGCTCTTGACTGGAATCGAACCTGGGACCCTTCAGTCCGCAGGCCGACGCTCTATCCACTGAGCCAAACCGGTTAGGGCTTCCTTCTGTCTTTTATCTCCACCTTCTGTTATAATATAGCTTCTTGCTTATGATG